AAACTATACGAGAGAAAGCATGCAGAAAAAAGAGAAAAGATTTTATCATTCTTAAAATTTTCATTATTTTAAGAATAGAATTTGTGTTTTAGTATGACTCTGGAATCATATGATGGGATTAAGTGGTACAAGTGTATTAGGATTGAAATTCCTTTTTCTAAGTTTAATAAAAAAATTATTATTAGTAAAATAAATAGTAAAAAGAACTATGAATAACGTAATTAATTAAGAAGGATAATCAATTAAATACACGCTACCTAAAGATGTGTACATAAATGTACTCAGAATTCCATCAATTATTTACTTCCCCGTAACCCAAAAGCTGAAGGCAGGAGCAAAATGGCGATTTTGAGGAGAATTTCGAAGGCCTGAATATAGGACTCAAGGATGAGAGGTGCGGGCGTCGAGTTCGTAAAAATTTCGGTGCCCAGCCAAATGTTGTTTAATAAAAAAATTAGTTTTACTAAAAAAATCGATTCTAAGTGTATTAGGATTGAAATACCTTTTTCTAAGTTTAATAAAAAAAATTATTATTAGTAAAATAAATAGTAAAAAGAACTATGATTCGATTCATACTTAAGTCTATATTTTTATTTGTGAATGGATAAAGTTTGTGTGGATATATTTTCTTTTAATGTTCAGTTTATGTGGTAAAATGATAAATGACACCCTAAAAATAATTTACCACGAAAAGCTATCCGTAAAATATATTCTCCCGCATCTCTCCTAGAATATCTTCTCTCGCATGCATCTATCTGTAAGTATATCACAAAATTAAACCTAACACAAACTACTTAGATAAAATAGAAAATGAAAATACAATAAATTATGTTTTATCCCTACCGCTTTACTTGATATGGGGCTAAACTCCTAAGCGAAGATGTACCCTCTAATAAATNCCTTTCTAATATAATAAACAATATTTTCAAACTTTTATTCAATTCATCATGATGAGAACATACATACATGATGAGAACATACATGTTTTTATCCCTACCGCTTTACTTGATATGGGGCTAAACTCCTAAGCGAAGATGGTACCTCTAATAAATATTTGTAGATAACTTTTTTTTTTCCTTTCTAATATAATAAACAATATTTTCAAACTTTTATCCAATTCATCATGATGAGAACATACATATAAATTTTTTCAAAAAATTCCAATCATTTTTAACTAATCACTTTTTATTAACTCAAATCTAACTCAACCTTAACTTAACATTACTATCTTCAATAATATTATTATCAATATAATTGAATAATACCACTTAATCATTATTACACATTACATCAACTTTAATTCATTATTCATCCACTCATATAATTTTAACTACATCACTTCGAATCATCTCTCCTACTTTTACATCAAATTAGTTTTAATTATTTTATTTTAAATATTTTTTTATATAAACTCAAAATCTCACTAACAACTATCCATACTATTAATTTATAATTAACTATACTAAACAAAAAAATCCAAACAAAATCAAAATATTTTAGGTTGCAAACCAACAATTACTCCCATGGATTCTTCTTTAAAATTAACTGCTCACAATGATAATGGTATACCAATTGATGTTGCTGAATATTGACGACCAGTTGGTAGGCTTTTATACTTAGCCATTACCAAGTCTGATGTTTGTTCTATTTTTGTTGCGTTTTTCGTGTTTATTTTATCTTTTTCTTTCTCCCGTTTTAGGTGGTTTCTTTAGTTTTTAGTCCGTTTCGTGTTTTATTATGTGTTTTTCTTGATTTTGAGTCTTTAGGTGTTATTTCGTTTGTTTCCCGGTTTTCTTCGTGTTTTGTCGTTTTTGGTGTGTAGGTCGGGAGTTTCGGGTGAATCTTCTCTTCAGCAAAAGTTTTTTTCGAGCGCATATTTTAATAGAGGAGTTCGTTGGTGACGCATAGCAAAAAACGGAACTCAATTCCGAGTTCGGACCAGCCCAAACGAGCCCGAAACGTAAAATTACGCAGTGCAGTCCAAAGTCGCGACTCGCGAGAGAAAAGTCGCGACTCGTGAGACCAAAGTCGCGACTCGCGAGAAAAACAGAGCCTGAAGGTGCAGTACGCTAGCACGAGTCGTGACTCGCGACGTAGGTCGCGACCAGACCCTAGGAATTGAACATCTTAACGACGCGCGACTCGCGACCGAAGAAAAGGCAATGTCGCGACTCGCGACTTTACCGACGCGAATTTCGAGGACAGGATTTTTAGACCATATTTTGATCTTAGGGTTCATAATTCAACTTCCAGACTCTATTTTTACGTTTTTTCTCTCTAGAAACTCATTCCTTTTCATACGTTTGCACTTTGGATTTGATTTGGAGATTGAAAACTCCTTTTCTCTGCTTCGGATTTAGCTTTGTCATTGGATTCGAATATTGGATTTCTATTAATCGTAAGTTTCTCTTTTCATCTAATCTATGAATATGATGGCTTTGATTGTTGAGATTGTTGATTTTGAATTCCATATGAGTGGCTAATACGTTTCGCTAGGGATAGAGGATGATGATGATGTTTAGAATTTAATTGTGATTATCATGCTTGTTGATCGCTCAATTTATGCGAGTTGTTCTTAACTAGGTTTATAATTCTCGTACATCGAATGTTTAATATTGTCGAAGAGTGACACTTCGATTTGCAATTGATTTCCAATTGAATATGATTCGTTCTTGTGTGACGTGTTTAAATCCAACTCACAGTAGATTAACAATCGTCTAGTATAATTAATCAACTCTTAGAACCGAAAGGGGAGGAGTTGATCGATCTAGGATCGCATGAAATAGACTTGTTCGGAAACGTATTGTCTATGTGTTGTGTGATTTGCGCGATTTACCGTCTATGTTACCCTCTTGTTATAAAGATTTATTGAGGATTATCTCTAGACGTTAGGTTGTTCGAATCATTTAACCGAATGATCTTAGCTTGATATTTGCATTGGTTCATCATCCCCGATTCCTTAGCTTCTTATCCTTTGATCTTCATCCTTATTTATAAGTTCGATTTTGCATTGTTTGAATTTTCTTTCGTAGTTGATAATTAAAAATCACTATCTTAATTAGAGTGTTTAGGATTTATTTTTCTTTAATGTGTTATCAACACCATTCCTATATTCCGAATCGTCTTCCTCGAGAGATCGACCCGGGGAACGAATCTTTCGATTCGGTACTCGATAAAAATATATTTTGCTACAACATCTGATATTGCTTGTAAGTGTACAAACCTTGAGTTCATTTATGTCCAAGCCAACATCACAACATTTAGCTAGTTCTCTCAGAGTTCTCAAGTACATTAAAGCCACAGTTGGCCAAGGTATTCTCTTCTCTAGTCATTCTTCTTTAAATTTAACTGTCTATAGTGATAGTGACTCGACCAATTTTGTTGACACTAGGAAAAACATTATTGGCTATACGATTTTCCTTGGCAGTTCCTTAGTTTCATGGAAATACAAGAATCAATCTGCCATTAGCAGACAATCTACCATTAGCATATCTTCTGCTGAGGCAGAATACAGAGCTTTTGCTCCACTTCTTGGAAATACAATGGCTTCTACATTTATTAAGTGATTTGAATGTGACTATTATATTTTCAGTTATTCTTTTTACAAATAGTAAATCTGCAATAAAAATAGTTGTAAATTTAGTGTTCCATGAAAGGACTAAACATATTGCACTTGACTGTCATCTTATCAGAGAAAAGTCGGCCCAGGTTTTATCCAACTTCAGTGCATTCCTTCCATCCTTCCAAGTTCCAAGGAACAAACGACAAACTTACAAAAGCTCTACCCATCCCTAATTTTCCTTTCCTCAAGTCCAAGTTTCACCTGCATAATATACATGTTAAGCTTACGGAGGTATTAGTAATATATTGTTATTGTTAGACCTTTTATGTAATTTCACCTCAAAAACATGCATAATAAGTTAGAGTTGTTACTTAACAAATAGCAACTTTAGTTATTTTGTACATAGTATAAATTCTTCCATTGTACAGTGTAACCCTAATTTTACTTTTGAATACACAAGCCGCATTCTCATTTTTCTTCTCCTTTGTGTTCTTCTTTTTCTCAATTATTTCGATCTGTAAATTTAATCTCAATAGTTGATCTATTATATGAAGAACTTCGTTGGTCCCATAATTTGAAAAGTCACATCAATATTGTTCAAAGTTTACCTTTAAGACAAGATGTCAACTAAACAACATAAAATCTCGCATTATATATAACAATTTCTTAAACTGAATTGCTAAATACCACACTCATTTTACTACGTACCGCACCCCTAAAATACTAAATTGCCCTTCACTTAAAAAAAAACAAAAATTCTATCCTACCTCTCCCAAATCCGTCGGCCCCCCAAGATCAGAAA